GGGTAGGATTTGGGAAACATAATTTAATCCATATTTCTCAGAGCATGGGAAGTGTCCAAAGCATTATGGTACAAGCATCTTAATATGCTGTAATTTCATGACACTGTGGCGATTTAGCTTTTTCTTTATTTCCAGAGAGGTTACAAATACCATAACTGACAGCCGACTTGTGCTACGTCACAGTAGAAAGAGGATTACACACACAGATTACAGCTCTTAGCATACCATGAAAACATCTACACAAGCAGTTCATATCAAAATTGGAGCTGCTGATGAAAAACTAGGTGTTTGGATAACTTGGCTATCGCAGGCGTAATGTTTGCAGCGGCTAAAATGCCACATGGAGAGGAAGTCCATGAAGTGTTTGGCTGTGTGGATGTGTGTATTGCTGAGCTAGTAAAGGCAGTAACAGTGGTGCACGATGTCACTTCTCATCTCCAGGGCCTTTGTGATAATCCACTGCTGCTGTTGCTGTGTGAGCTGGGCATATGCTTAAAACCCATAAAGACAACTTTCCATAAGGTCAACAGACATTTGGCTGGGCAGGCCAAAAAGTTAATATGCTGAGAAGTCTGCAAACTGGGGAGCTGGAATTAAGTATTCGTGTATCCAAGATGGGAGAAAAGCTCTTGTAGAAAGACTGGTGATGAGTTTATTAAAAAAAAAAAAAAATTGTCTGTTTCTTTTTTTAATGCGTAGAGAAGCTTCTGTGAAATTTTTCAACTGACTAAATGTCATTAAAGTAATAACACAGCTTCAACTTTCTAAAAAGTGAGAGAGGAGACTAGAAATCATTTGACCTAGGGAGATGCAAGCACACGGTGAAAACTTCTGTATTCAGAAGTGCAGAGGCTACTGTGTAAACACACTAGCATTAGTGTTGGCTGGGACAGAGTCCATTTTCTTCATAGTAACTGCTGCAGTGCTGTGTCTTTTTGGATTTATCATGAGAATCATGTTGATAACACCCTGATGGTTTAGTTGTTGCTGGATAGTCCTTACCCTAAGTCAAGCTCTGCCAGTGAGGAGATGCACAAGAAGCTGGTTGGGAGCGTGGTCGGGACAGCTGAACTGAAATGGCCAAAGGGATAGACTTGTCATGCTCAGTGTATAAACTGGGGGGAATTGGCTGGAAGAAGGTGACAGCTCTTTGTGGATGGGCTGGGAGTCAGTCAGTGGATGGTGAGCAATTACTATTGTGAATCACTTTTTTCTCTTGGGTTCTGTTACTCTCCCTCTCTCCTTATCATCACAATTTTTGTTAGCATATTTAGTATTGTTTTTATTATTGTTATATTTGATTCAATTATTACATTTTTCTTATGTCAACCCACGAAATTTACTTTTCCCAATTCTCCTTCCCAGCAGGGTAGTCTGGGGCAGTGAGCAAGCGGCTGCATGGTATTTAGTTGCTGACTGGTGTTAAAACACGACAATTAGGTATTTCATTGGAAATTTTTTAACTCAGCCATTCTGTTTCAATGCCCAAAATATATTTTTTAACTAGAGAGAGGTTGTTAAACTCAGAAGATGTTAAGTAATACGGGAATCTCATAAATTGTCATTCACCCAGTTGCAATTAGTAGGCAGTGTGGGTAGCTTGCAAATTTTGTTTGGTTTCTGTTGCTGCCTGGTGTTCTGACTTCATTTGGAAATAACACCAGAAATTTCTCAAGATGCTATATTACAACAGTAAGGAGGATTCTGAGGACACTGCTGCCTGTTTACTTCTATTGCACTTGATAGAATCAGAGAATGCTCTGGGTTGGAAGTGAGCTCAGACATTATCTCTTTCAAACTTCCCTGCCCAGGACAGGGACATGTTTCAGGAGCAGGGACATCTTTAACTAGATCAAGTGGCTCCAAGCCCCACCCAGGATGGCCTTGAACACTTCTGGATGGGGTAGCCATGACTTCTCTGGGCAACCTGTTCCAGTGTCTCACTACCCTTACAGTAAAGAATATATTTCTAAGATCCATTCTAAACATATTCTTTTTCATTTTAAAGCAATTCCACCTTGTTCTGTCACTACCTGCCCTTTGTAAAGCATCCCTCTCCAGCTTTCTTGTAGCCCCCCTTTAAGTACTCGAAGGCTGGTATAAGGTCTCACTGGAGCCTTCTCTTCTCCAGGCTGAACAGCCCCAGCTCTTTCAGTCTGTCTTTGTAGGAGAAGTGTTTCAGCCCTGTGATCATCTTCATGGCCTTCCTCTGAACCTGATTGAGTAGGTCCACATCTTTATTATATTGGGGACCAGAGAGCTGGATGCAGCACTGCAGGTGGGGTCTCAAGAGAGCAGAGCAGAGAGGCAGAATCCCCTCCCTTGCCCTGCTGCCCACACTGTTTTAGATGCGGCCCAGGACACACTTGGCTTTCTGGGCTGCAAGTGCACACTGTTGGGTGACACTGAGTTCCTTATCAACCAGCACCTGAAAAGTCCTTCTCCCCAGGGCTGCTCTCAATCCATTGTCTGCCTAGCCTGTATTTGTGCTTGGGATTGCCTCAACCCAGGTGCAGGACCTTGCACTTGGTCTTGTTGAAATTCATGAGGTTCACAGAGGCCCCTTCTCAGGCCTGTCAAGGTCCCTCTGGATGACATCCCTTCCCTCCAGCCTGTCAACCACACAACACAACTGAGTGTCATCAGCAGACTTGCTGACACTGCACTGATCCCCCTGTCCACATCACCGAGAAAGGTGTTTAGCAGTGCCCGTCCCAACAACATCCCCAGAGGAATGTTGCTTGTCCTTGATCTGCACTGGACATCGAGCCATTGACCACAACTCTCTGAGTGACTGTCTAGGTAGTTCCTTATCCACTGAATGGTCTGTCTGGCAAATCCATGTCTCTCCTGTTTAGATACAAGGATATCATGTGGCACAGAAGTCAAGGACTTCTCTCAGAGCAGTGGAGTCTTAGATCCCAAACTATGCTTCTATTCCCACTGCCAGCACATTTCTGTTTGAGTGCACTGTCCAACAGAGTTGAAATCTTCTGGCCTCTTTGTCTTTACATTCCCTTTAATTCCCTTTTGTTGTCCTTGTAACTCTGTAATCTGACCTGCAGAACCCTGCAACCCGTCTCACTACTTGGACTAAGGATAGAAACAGATCACCCTGAAGTAACTCCTCAGGCTTTCAAGAATCCAGTTGAAAACCACCCCTTTCTTTTTAAAATCTATACAGGTTTTCTGCAGTTTACCTCTGAAATACAGCCCCTAACTTGTCTGTCCACCATCACTTCCCTTTTTCTTTTTTAACCTGCTTCCTTCCTTTCTTCCTTTGCAGACTATGCAAGCCATTCACATTTCTTCTCAATGTTTCCTGCCACCTGTATCTTGCTCACTTCCCCTCTTTCAAACTGCATTGTCTGCCATATCTCCTTTTCCCATGTCAGTTCCAGTAATTTCTTTCTCCATGAACTCTATGCGATAGAATAATTTATTGACTAAGTTATATTTTAATATAATTTCTGCAATATGTACCTGATAACTGACTTTCGGTGTGTAGTGTTTTCTCTGATAAACAGAGAGAGAGGCAAAATGTGTTAATGAAAAGCAGCCAGGACTTTCTGGTTGAGGAACAGTTTACCAGAGCGTCTGAGAGGGGGCTCTGAATTGTGCTCGGTTTATTTCATAGTTATCAAAACTCTTCCATACCATCCACATTTTCCAGAAATTGACTGGTCTTGTTACTGGAAGTAGTGGTCAGGTAACAGCTATGGTGCCCAGCACTGACAATTATACCATTTCTGTAAAGTGAACGTTATATCTTTTGATATTGTGAGGTTTTTAGTGGGACTTGTGACAGGACTTCATATGTGGTCCTTTAATAAGTTGTGTTTGCATTATGGGTAAACACTAAAGAGAGAAGTGATGAAAATAGAATTGTCTACAATTACCTGCTGGAAAGGAGTATCTTGGTTTTGGGTGTTTGTATCTGAGAGCAGTGATGTCCTTGGACTCAATACTGTGTTCACTGATTTCATGGCTGGGAATTACTAAAAAATTTTAAGGAGTGTGTGTGAAACAGGTATGTTTACCAGAAACAGGATGGTAATTTTTTAAACCTACGACAAAAAAAACCTTTACCTTGTTTCCAATCTACTGTAAATCTCAATTATAAGAAGACTTCATAGGTCATATTTCAAATTAAAGAAGAAATATTTAGGAACAGTTTAGTTTAGTCAATCAAAGGAGCCATATGATGTAATACTTTACAAGGTTGTTATCTTTCAAAAACTTTTCGACCAGTTTTAAGTAATTCAATCCTTTTTCCTATATGCCCTTGCAAAATAGTTTCAAAAGGATTATTTCCCTTCAGTTTTTGTGAAGATTATGGAAATCTCAAAATGAGAACTTAGCCAAGAGAATCTATAAAACACATGGTGTACTGTTGTTTTACCTGCGTGACAGAAAGAGGTGTGCTTAAATGGGCACACAGTATTTAGGCCTTCAGAAAATATGGGGGAAAGGGCAATAATAAGAAGAAGAACAGAAATTTAAAATTTTGACTACTTTCACACAGAGTTGCAGGAAGAACAGATAGTGCCCCAAGGTAGAAGATTTCTTTCTTAATTTTACTTACGTGTGTCTATCATGCCAGTCTGTCATCTAATCAACATAATCCAAGAATCTATAAGAATGAAACTTTGAGAGTTGTTTGTCTCTCAAATTAGATTTCTTTTGTTATGCCATCTAGTCAGACCCAGCTTGTAGATAGGTTGTGAAGTAGTTTTTCAAATGTTTATGATATGTAACAAAATTGAATGTGTTGAAAAATGAAAAAATAAGAATTTTAGTGTCAGTAAACAAACTGACTTTATAACCTTGCTGTATTCAAAAGATGATGTGAACTTTGAATCAAAGCTGAGCTGAGGTGTTTCAGAGGTTCCTGGACAAGTGTTGTATGAGTCATCCTAGATATCTGAAACAAGGTGACTAAAACCAAGCTTCATATGGTTAACTTCCCCTTCAAGGAAACTCTTTAAAGTAGACTATGGTTCTCTTAGTTAAAGGAGACTTTTATTGAATGATTTTTCTCTCCTTAAGCCATATGCTGCAGGAATACTTGTGCTTTCTTTTGAAGCAACTGTTATGCCATGGGTTGACTCTGGCCGGATTTTAAACTCCCACGAAAATTTGCGAAGAGCTGGGAGAGGTCACATAGACAAGACAGACTCAGTGTGAGGATAATACTAAAACTTATTACTAGCAGAATAGAAATTAAAGAGTAAGAAAATAAACAGTCTTAAACACACTTTCAAACCACCACTCTTTCAAACTTCCATGTTCTCCCTCCTCCAGAAGTTCATCTATAAGGCAACAGTTCTTCCAGATCTGCTGCACTGATGGATTACCCTTACATGGGCTGCAGAGGACAGTCTGTTTCACCATGGTCTCTCACCACAGGCTACAGGGGGGCCAAAGCTCCGAGTCTTTCCCCTGTCCCATGGGTCCCTCCCATGGGAAACAGTCCTCGGTGGACCCTTCTAACATGAGTCCACCTGTCCCCCCGAGCCGAAGGTCCTAGGGTGCATGGTCTCTATACCCCGATGGTTTGTCATAGAATGCAGTCTTTGACAGAGGGTATTGTCCCAGCGTGGGTTCCCCACAGGGGCCGTAGAGTCCTACCCAGAACAAACTGCTCCAGCATGGCTTCTCTCTCCATGGGCCACAGAGTCTTCCAAAGAACTCCATTCCCTCCTGGGCTTTCCATAAGGGCAGCAGTGCTCTTTCATTTCCATGCAGCCACTTGTTCCATCTCGGACGCGGCTGCGCCGGCAAGGCCGCCCCGGCCCGTCTTGGCTCAGACGGGATGGGAAGGGGAACGAATGCCCGCCGGCAGGGCCGCTCTGCCGCCCTGGCCTAGCCTGCGGCCGGGGTGGGCCCGGAGGGGGCTGTGGGGCCGCTCTGTGCGCTGCCGCACGCCCTTGCCCCAGCCCCGGCCACCCCTTTGCAGGGGCTGCCGCTCGGCTCAGCCGGCACTGCTGAAAGCAGCACAGGCAGCTCGGCCGGGATGGGCCCATGGGGGTGCTATGGGGCCGCACACTCTGGTCCTGGCCCCGGCCCAGGCTCGGCTCTAGCGCCGTGCCTGCCCCTGGGCCAGCTATCACCCTGGGCTATCGCTGCTGCCCCTGCCCGCGGTGCAGGGGGTGGAAGTGGCAGGGAACCACTCCAGCCCCGGCCACAGAGCCCACCGTGCCTGTCCCAGGCCACGGGCCGCAAGGCCGGGCCCCCGGGCCCTGGCAGCTTCCTCTGCCACCCTCCTGGCTCGAATTTCTTCTGCGCAACAACCTTCTCTTCCTCTTTTTTCTTAAATATGTTATCACAGAGGCTTTACTAAAACTTCCAGTTGGCTCTCCTCCTGGTTAGAACCAGGAAGTTTGTCCTGGAACTAACCATCTTCGGCTCCAGGGGCGAAACCACACATACCTATGACAGTTACTACTGTCAGAGCACTGAAGCTTCAGTGAAAAAGGAGAATTTCAAATTTTAACGTATTTGTATGCATTTGACTTCGCATTTATAACATTCACCTTTCTTAGAATGCAACATGGGATATGGAAAAAAGAGGGTTTTGGTCCAGAGTTCACAGAGGTCAAATGTCATCTAAGAACTCTGACAAAATAGTATTTCATGTAGTTCCTTTATGTCCTGCTTCTTCCTTTTCTCTGTAATTATAAATAAAGTATTGCACTGGATCTTGGTTTAAAATAATCCTTCAGAAAAGAAAAACAATTATTCCATCTGGTATACTGCAAGCACTTGAGAAAAAAGTGATGCAAATTGTGATGTATCTCAGAAGAACCTAAGTAAATTACACTTAAGCACATACACATGCAAATGCTAGCCCATATCCCAAACAAGCTTATTCAGCACCCCAGCTGTCAGCATAACAATGGTTAAAACTCACACTAAAGAAGGTTAATTTAAAAATATGATACTTTCTAGATGAACTGCCCTGCTACTATGCTTCACTGCAGGACTGCTTTCTGGAATTTTCCTCTGTTCTCCTGTCTGGCTTCTCTTATATAAAAATAATAAATAAATAAAGTAAATAAATCTACATTTGTTCACTCAGATGTGAGTTATAGAAATAGGAATGACCTTCCAAAGCATTAGGAGGGTCAGATCTGTCTATTAGTATTATCTCATCCAAAAGCAATATAAAACAGGGCATAAGCTAAACCTATTCTAAATTATGTGTTTTGCCACATACTTTTGCCCAGTAAGCCTGGTGGGCACCAGTGCTGCCTTTTGAAGGACTGTGCTTTTGCAGGATCAGTGTGAGGGAACCTTACAGCTTTCAGCTCTGCCTGGGTAGACAGTAGAATTTCTGTGTGTTTAGACATGAGACAGGAAGTGAGAATCCCTGGCTACATTTCTGCTGACTGGATCAGATTGTCATGTGTTCTAGTTGTAGTCTACACTTCCAGTAATAAAGGCAGAAAGAGAATTGTGTGTTCTGACACACAGGGAAACAGGAAGACGACGGAAGCAATAGCAAATATGCACCACTGCACAATAAAGCACAAACATTCGCACCCAAGTGACTGTAGCATTTCTTTTCGCCTTTGGCTTTCCTCAGTTTTTGCAAGGGATCTTTCCTGGAATTTCCATTATCCACTTATCCTCTGCACTTGGAGCAGCCTGTCAGCTGCTGCCACCTCCGTAGCACATTTAGGTGAGAAATTTGACGTTTGAACTAGTAGCTATGGTTGCAGACAGTCTGCTTTGTTCTTGGTCTAAAGGAGCCGAAAATTAAGATAGCTTTGCAGCATCTGGATAAGCATTGTCTTTCACATATACGGAACATCCATCTTTACTGTGACCACATTTGCTGGTTGCTGAACACATTGCAAATTTGCATAGATTAGGTTAGTCTATAGAAGACAAATTATACTTTCTGTTTTGGGAAAATATTTTACTTTCCTCATCAGCTTGAGGATTATTGTCTTATGTGTTGCACCTGTCTCTTTTTCCTACCATACTGACACTTTATTCTTACACATATTAGTACCTTGAAACAATTCAGCTGATGGGTGTTTCCCTATAACAAATAATGTGTGTAAGTGTTTCTAACTTTTAAGATCTGTTTAAATCCAGATATGGGGCATGCATCATGGAGAAGAACAAACTGGAGTAGCAGTAAAATATAATACTCCCATGATGGGTTTAAAATTGGTACCAGTGAGGAAGGAATTAGGTACATCACTTTGATATTTCACAGAAAGAAACTTCTGAAGTCTATTAAGTGTGTGTTACACCATATAGTTTAGGAAGCAAATAATTTTTTTTCTCAAATTATTACAGGATGTGAAGATTTTACTGAGCTAAAAAAAAAAAAAAAAGAAGAAAGGAGAAAAGGGTATATGCAGTCTTTGGTTTATATTGCACCCAGTATTCTAAAGAGAATAAAGCATTGATATAAGTGACAGGGAACCTAACACATGGGGCAAACATCTTCACAGCATGCTTTTGGTACCAAGGTGATGTGAAACATGAATTTCAGTAAGCATTTCTTCTCTACTGACAATAGCTCTTGAATTTACAGCCCCTATGCCTATTGCTAGGAGGAAATGGCTGGGAGAGGAATACTTCTAAAAACTTTCTTTTTCCCCATCTCCAGTACTTGCTTATATATCTCTTCTTTTAATTTCTCTAAGTGTCCCGTCTCTATCTTAAAACTCATGAAACCCACTACATACAAGAACTATAGCCACTTGAAACCTAAGAAGCTATGCTGTTATGGGAGACAGAGAACTTTGTGCTTTAGTGGATTCAGACTTAGAAGTCTGCAAAAATTATAGGAGAATTTGACTCCCAACAAACATTTCCAACCAAATTAAATTGTAGCCACTGAACTATCTGACTTGACAAGCCTGATTCTGTATTTGATCTTTTGTTATAGTCTGGTCATGCATTGGGTACCAAGTCTGGATTTTGGTAACCTTGTTCTTCCTCTTCTTGTGAGCAATGTATATGAAACCCTTCAGGGCATATTGACATAAGAATGTAAGGTACATCAAGTAATTACAAATAAAGTAATGTACTATTTAATATTAATGTATTTACTCTGTACCAGATTTACAGAACTCCCAGCTGTACTCTGAAATGTACTTGAATGACCACTTGATAAAATAAGTGATCTCTTATTTGAAGAAACTCCAGAAAACCAAGTGGAGAAAAAAAAGCTTTTTTCACTAGGGTTTGTCCAGTTTGGTCTACATTTTATACCCAAGATTTTTGAATATTTTTCATAGAGTCATCATTGTATTTCATGGTGATAACAAGCTTGATCTGGAAAGATTTGGGAAAATGCCCTAATTGTCTCCATATGTACCTTGTTACCCTTAATTTGAGTTGCAGCCATTAGTCTTAGACTATATAAAAGCAAATAATATCAACTGGTCATACATAACAATATGCATAAAAAATGTACCATGAAGATAATTCATCAGATTTTGCAGGATAGCAAAACTCACCAAGGAGGGGGTGTGCTTTTGCACACAATCTGCTGTAGCTGAAAAAACAACTGCTCGATGAGTGTTTCTTCCTGTGTACCAGCATACCCACTGAGCTGGTAATTATTCCTGCTTTTTATCTAACCATGATAAGAGAGAAAACAATCTCTTTTCCTTGCTTTCCTCTTTTACCTATCACACACAAGAAAGTCTCTGTATTCTGAATTAATTTTCAATTTTTCCCTGTTCTTCACAATTAATTTAAAATGTTTCAAATTTTATGTACAGTAATTAATGTTCTTCAAAAAATAACAGTCTATATGAGGCAGTTGTACTGATCTCCTATTCTCACAGACCCAGTGTGGTGGGGTATGAGACGAAATCCCTGGAAGGTAAAGAAAAATCATTTATGGTAATCAAAGTGTGTCAGAATATTCAGGAAGTCATTAAAGAAGAAATAGTTAATCCTGGCTTTCCCTAAAATGAAGGAAGTTGACTATACGAATAACACCAAAAAGCAGTAATGACGTCTCTTTTTAGATTCATAACTGTGAGACAGTTGATAAAATAGAAATTTATAATCACAAAGCTTGAATTTCAAGAGAGCCTAAATCCCATTGAGAGACTAAAATCCCATTTAGAGATAATAAATTCCACTGAGTTTCCCTTTAAAAATTATATTTCTGGAGTCAGTCAGTCTGGACATTATTTATTTATAAAGCAGCTTGAGTATATAAACTTCATGTAACTTTGTAGTGGAATATGTGTACCTGAATGAATATTACAAATTCTTCAAAACAAAGGCAATTCCATTGTTCTACATCTACACAGAGTTCAGTATTACCAGGAACCCCCAAGCTCATTATACAAACAAGGTAACAACACCAGCAGCACCATTAATTGCTATATATTTTCCCATATTCACATCAGAATGCAACAGATTATCATTCCATTTAAATGGAAAAATGCATGTATACCAGAAAACAACACAGGGGTATTCTAGCAATTTAAAAAAACAAGATTGTCCTAGATGTCCATGTCTGTAGACTGTATTATTGTAGTAAAAACAGAATGGGATAAAAAACATGTGGAGTATTACGAGTCTGATAATAATCAACACAGAGAAGTGAAATGAGAAAAAGAAAAGTGTTCAGAGAAAAAGGAGAGGGGGAGGGAAAGAAAATGTGGAGTGAGAAGAAGCAAAAGAGAGAGAAAGTTAGAATGACGGATGTTCAGTAAATGCGGAAAGCAAAGCCAACCAAACAACATTTATGATAAAGATTTCTATCTGAAGTTATTTGCAGACTATTTTGGTCAGTAATGTGTTATCCTTCTTATTTGACCCTTTTTTTAGGCAGCTATTACAATCTTGCAGGTTGCTACTGTCAGGATTTTTAAATATCTCTCAGGTTTTTCCTAGAGCTTTACATCTTGCTGGTAGTCAATCATTATTCCTTCCACAGAAGATTAGCGTTTTTCTTTCACTTACATAGAAATCTAATAGTCATCAAATTTGGTTTATTGTATTTAAATTGTTTGTACATGGAAGATATTGAAAAAGCATTTTCAAAGTCTGCTAACACTGGCACAATAATATCCTCTTTGCATTAAATCATGCTTGATTTCATATTGCGAATATTAAAAATTTCCTTAGTACATCTAGATTAAAAGCAAATAAAGTAATATCATAATGGGAGTCATCAGTTTTAAACTAGGATTATGAACATAATGTGATATAATAAAGCTAAAATATATACCAAATCTGAACAAGGGAGTCAAAAGCCAAAAAATGCTAAGAAATGCTAAGAAACAACAAAGCAACCAACATCCAGAAAGGAATTCAGGGTAACTACATGGCTTGAAACAAAAGGAAAACAAACTACGTAATGGAAGATGTGCTGTGCAGAACAAACAAATCCAAACAGTGTAAGGAAATGACTGAAATAGGATATGAAATACAAGAAAA